GCCTAGAACCGTGCCTGCAATAAATTATTTCATGAATGAATAAGCTAAATTCCCTTAGTAAATTAATCACCATTTAAACCTGACTTGGAGTTTGCAGGGATGGCACTGGTCACAATAGAGATAAAGTTGATGTATGATTTTAAAAGCAGTGTAATCATGCTCCTTCTGAGTCTCTTTCTTTAGCCTAAATGTTGTGATTTTCCTTACCAGTCTTTCAGAGTTAGGGTTATCCCCTATTTATATCATAACTGGTCTAAGCAAACTATTAAGTTTTATATTTTTTTCTAAATATTTTGATATAAAAACAAAAATATGGTTAGGTGTCATGTTCAAAGAGCAAAGAAATTATTTGTTTTTTACAGCTCAATTGATGTTAGGGTCAGAATACTACTATATTATAATAGGCAAAATTGTCTAGGGAAGTGGCAGTCATCAAAGTCTGACCCTATGTTTTTCTATTTCCATTTCAAAGTTGTCTCTTTACTGGTATTTTCAAAAGCAAAAATTTAAACTATATCTTTTCCAGTTATATAAAGATTTAAACATGTCTATAAATTTCCAAAATTTAAATACTGATATGCAGACATCCAGTCCACCTTATCATCTCAATCTTCTTCTTTTTTTGAAATACTTTTATTGATTTTTTACAGAGGAAAGGAGAGAGATAGAGAGTTAGAAACATCGATCAGCTGCTTCCTGCACACCCCTCACTGGGGATGTGCCCGCAACCAAGGTACATGCACTTGGCCAGAATCGAACCTGGGACCTTTCAGTCTGCAGGCCGACACTCTATCCACTGAGCCAAACTGGTCAGGGCTCATCTCAATCTTTCAATCATTGATGAGATAGGATGACTTGAGGCTATCTATAATAATAAAAGTGTAATATGCTAATTAGACCGGACGGCCTAATGACCTTCCAGACATCCTTCCGGATGACCTTCTGGAAGAAGCCAGGGGTGCGAGGGCTGAGGCAAGCTGCCATGGCTGTGAGGGCCGAGCCCCTTGCAGAATTTCGTGCATCGGGCCTCTACTTTAATCATATTACTGCTGGTCCCTTACACTGGGGCTAGAGGAAGCACTGTCACAACATTCACAATGGGTTTGGGGTCTCTTCTCTAAGTAATAAAGATGATCACCCCTAAAATGGCTTTTGAAAAATTTTTCTTTCTTTTCCCTTGCTTTGCATAGGTCCCTTTGGAATACATAAAAAACTACATATATTTATTTCACAACTGTTTTTCTTTTCTTGCAATTACATGTAAGGAAATAGGCTTCCATCATTTTTTTCCTTCCTTGTCTAGAATGTAACTCTTCATTTAATCTTTCACATGTACTAATTTGTTAAAGATTTTACAATGATTTTTTTTTCTTTAAAAATGCTGAATAAGCCCTAGCCTGTTTGGCTCAGTGGACAGAGTATCTGTCTGCAGACTGAAGGGTCCTGGGTTTGATTCCAGTCAAGGGCACGCACATCAGCTGCAGGCTCCTCCTAGGCCAGGCCCTGGTCAGGGCTTGAGCAGGAGGTAACCAATCGATGTGTTTCTCTCACATCGAGATTTCTCTCTGTCTTTCCCTCTCTCTTCTACTCTCTCTAAAAATCAATAGAAAAACATCCTCGGGTAAGTATTAAAAACAAAACAAAACTGAATAATAGCAATGCTACCCTAGAACATTTTTTTCCTAATGGAAAGTTACTGCTATCACAGGTAGTTAATAATTCAAGACCCATACGATGTAGTGTGACAGAGAGCAAAGTGTTAAGCAGATATGAATTTGATACTAGCTTTAAAGGTGTAATAGAGGCGTGGCTTTAGAGAATCACTTCAGTTTAATCTTCTTTGATATTGGCATTGCACCTATCTTGCAGAGATTTTGTGATGCTTAGGGAAACCATACAACCTAACAGTGAAGAGGGTGGAGTTTGGAGTCAGAGAAAGACATGAGTTAGGACATGACTGGCTTGCCACTTATTAACTGTGTGACCTTGTAAAAAAAGAGGTAAGGGCTGTGGTGAAGATTCAAGGACATAATACTTGTATAGTACTTGGCATGTAGTATGTGCCTGATAAATATTTGTAGCAATAGCATAGTTGTAGTAGTAGTATGAGTTCCACTATTTTCACCAGCATCTGACAGGTCTGTTCGAGGTTTATTCATCATCATAATCAAGAAGCTCATTAAATCTGACCAAATTATTATTAAAGCATTAACTTTATCATGACTTAACATCATTAACAATGCAAACAATGTAAGTATGTGTACAATGTCTAAGATGATTAGAGAAAGGAGTTTCCCTATAATATTTGTGTGATTTTAAACTCATAATAGTAAGTTAGGTTCAAGCACAGTCTATAAAAAGCCCTTAAAGAAAAACAGAGTTATCCTCTTATGACTGTTATAAATAAATCCTACTAACCAAGGAATCAAAATTCATTTCTTTTTTATGCTGAACTCCTTGGTCATAGGACTTGAAATGTACTATATATACTGTGTATAATTAATGACATTTTAATAAACTATGTATAATTAATGACATTTTAATAAACTTGCCATTTGTAGATAGGGTTTGAACAAAGATACTAAAATCACATAAATTTAAATACAGATTCAAGTTTAAACAATCGAGTATTAGAAATAAATTTCCAAGTAAGAATCAATATTCCTTTAACATTTATTGAAAATATAAAAAAATCTAGGTATTGCACTAGGAATTTTTATACTTTATTCCACTTATTATCATAGCCCTAAGCTAAGTAAAAGGAAAATTACAAATATGTGGCCCTGACTTTACAGAGACTACAATGTATTAGATGTACATATAAGAATCACATGTTTGAGGTAGACAATGAATACTTTGGTAAAAAGTACTACTAATAAAGAAAACTAGTGAATATAAAGTGAGTTAACATATAATCAGGATGTTAACTAATAAGCCAAAAGCTATTTGAAAATACAAACTAAAGTGTAAAAGATTCAAATTGGAATAAATTGATCTATTTGAAAAGATAAGACTATAAAAGTTTTAGAAGAAAACACACATAAAAAAGATTGGTAGAGGACAAAGACTGGTAAGATGGAAAAAATGGGGAAGAGAAACCACTAGCCATTAAAAAATAGATAAATTAAACTTTATCAAGATTAAAAACTTCAGCTCTTCAGACATAATGTTAAGAAAATAGAAAAGACAAATCACAGACAGGAAAAAACTATTGCAGAGGTGTACCTAAAATATATAAGCAATTTTAAAACTTGATAATGAGGAGATAACTAAAAAAAAAAAAAATGGCCAAAAGACTTAGCCAGTGGTTCTCAACTTTCCTAATGCCACGACCCTTTAATACAGTTCCTCATGTTGTGGTGACCCCCAACCATAAAGTTATTTTTGTTGCTACTTCATAACTGTAATTTTGCTACTGTTATGAATTGTAATGTAAATATCTGATATACTATATGTGTTTTCCGATGGTCGCGACCCACAGGTTGAGAACCGCTGAGACAAAAGAAGATAGGCTAATAGCCAACAAGCACATGAAAAGATGGTCAATATTATTAGTTACCCAGGAAATGCAAATCAGCACAATCATAACATTTCACATGAACTGCAATGGCTAAAATAAAAAAGACTGAAAATAAAAAGTTTTGGAGAGATGTGATTACTAGAGGGACGAATATATATATATATAATTTTTTTTTTGCATAAAGACTACTACATGAATGGTCACAGCCGCTTCATAATAGCATCAATCTCGAAACAACTCAAATGTCCTTCAATAAGTGAAAAGATAAAGAATTTGTGGCATATTCTTACAATATAAAAGTAATGATAAAAATAACCTCACAACACATACAACATTGTGGGTGGTGGTGATATTAACCAATGTGATTGTTTGATATTGTATAATGAAATGTGTAAATATTTGGAAGATCTGCATAACTTGGTGAAATGATACTTTTCAAATGACCAAGGAATGATATTTCCATATCTTGAGCTGCTATCATTATTGTTATTTTTGCTATTTCCTAGAAAAATAAAGCAAAACAAAACTTAAAACTTCTGTTATAAAACTAAGTCATTTTGAATTAAAGGGTTTTAGTATGTGCATTAGAAGAAAATAACATAAAATTTAGCATCTTATTCATTTTTAAGTAAGCTGTTCATTGGTATTATGTTCATAATGTGCTGCCATCACCACCATCTTCAGAACTCTTTTCATCTTGTAAAACTGAAACTCTGTATCCTTTATTTATTTATTAAAATACATTTTTATTGATTTCAGAGATTAAGAGAGGGAGAGAAAGATAGAAACATCAAAGATGAGAGAGATCATTGATAGGCTGCCTCCTGCACACCCCCCACTGGGATGCAACCTGGGCATGTACCCTGACCAGGAATCGAACTGGAACCTCTTGGTTCATAGGTTAATGCTCAACCACTGAGCCATACTGGCCAGGCAAAAACTCTGTATCCTTTAAGTAATAACACCCCACTCCCACCTCCCCTCAGTCCCTGTCAACCACCATATTACTTTCTGTCTATGATTTTGATTATTCTAACTACCTCATGTTAATGGAATCACAGTATCTTCTTGTGACTAATTTCACTTAGCATAATATCCTTAAGATTTATCCATGTTGTAGCATATGTCAGAATTTCCTTTCCTTTTAAGGGTGAATAGTATTCCACTGAAATATAAGATACATTTTGCTTATCTGCTCATGTGTTGATGAATACTTAATTTGCTTCCACATTTTAGTTAATGCTGCTATTCACATAGGTCTACAAATATTTCTTCAAGACCTATGTTCAGATCAGTTTATGATTAATTAAAAGATCAAAATCAACTTCATATCACAATGATCTAGCAAGTTCACAAGAAAGCAAAGAAAAAAATTAGTAAAGGACATGTGAAAATAATTGATCAGACTCCTAAAGCAATTACATTTTGCTCTTTACTATGCACCACTAATTAGGGGAAAGTGGTTTTGAAAAGTTCTTACCTGGATGAGATGTGTTGGCACAGTGATGAGGCAGGCTGAAAGAGAGGTGCGCAGAAGACCACGGAGAACGTAGAGGAATTTTGTAAGGCTGTGACTGTTGTCACAGTTTTCTGTACAGCAGACATCATCTCCCCACAAAGGTGAACCAAGACTCTGGATTGCTATTCGTAAAATGTTTTTCTGTTTTTTCTAAAGGAAAGTGGAGGAGAGGTAAACACATTAAGTTTTGTTAACTAATAGGATACCTCTTTTACTTCACAGGTGAGCTATATAGTAGTATATCATATTATGCTTCTTAGAGTCTATTTCTATATGCTGCCTCCAACTAGTTTAGTTTAGTTGAAAATGGAATGATAAAAACCATAAGATGAAAATTTCCTCTTAAAAAAGCAGGATTTATTTCAGTATCAGAATATTATTGTGATTCAGGAATAATATATTTTAAGTAGTGACTGATAGATGCACTGTTGTGACTTCCTGATTTCATCTAAAGTTTCTGAGACAGATGTAAAGACTTGTGAATTTAGCAAACAATACAATCCATAACTTAACAATATGGAAATTCATTAACTATATTTTCATTCCAATAAAGTTAGAAATATATTTTTAAATGACTTATTGGTATATTTTTATTTAGTTAAAAGTTTTTTTAGCATTCTTGATATTCACCATAGAAATGTCTACCTCAACCCTGTTCATTTTTATGAAAGTCAACAGTTACAGAATCTCTGGCTCAGAGAGTGAAACCAGCTACTGTTTGTTGTCTGTCAACGTTCATGAAAAATATTGTTTATTGAAAATGATGAAATAAACAACCAAGAAAACAAACCTTTCAATCCATTCCAACAACAGCTTTCTTATTAATGGTTGTCTGAATATATGTGTGTGTGTGTATATATGTGTGTGTGTATACATGTACATTTACATGTAAGTATGTATCTTTTTGCTATTGCATTTGATTTTTTGATTTATAAAAAATGTCTTGGTCTTAGAAGATGTGTCATCATCCTACAAGAGCAGCAGCTCTGCACACTGTACCATAGGAACTGTTATGACATGCCTGTTTCCATAGTTACCACAGCGAATGGGGAGAGGTGTCTGTCAGGGACCAATTTACCTCTCCAGACAGGCACTGCCACCAAAGAGAAGACATGTAGCCCATAAATCTTAACTAGGACCAAAAATGGAGCAATAATGAGCGTAACAAAATTGTAGTAAATACCAAGGACCACCACAAAAACTGTAACATACACGAAAAGCCATCTATAAGTGAATGTGCTTCACCACACAACACACACATACTATTTTCAACCTGCTATTAAACTGATGATTAAGACAAATTTAAAAAATTATTTATTTTACCTTTAATACTGTTAAATGTAGTAAAGTCAACAATAATATTTTTTAAACTCATGAATTAAGAGCAAGTGTAGTTGATAATGCCACAAGTAAGACTTGGCTTCTTTGTCTTCTTCAATAAAAATAATGTCTTTTGGAAAATAATTCTGCTGAAATAATATAAATGAAATGCAAATCTTTTAGCAGCTATAGCAATTAAAATAACTGAGGAAGAATTCAGAGCCACACGATATGTAGAAATAAAATTTCCCTTATTTTGTTTAAGTTAAACTAACTGGAACATCTTTAATAGTGGTAATTCAGAGAAATTTTTAAAAAAGAGAGCTACAGAAAAATAGTTATAAAATATTTTAATACAGCAAACAGAAATGCCTTTTTATTCACTGAGACAACCCGAAGTATTCTGTAATAAATGTAAAATCATAAAATAATTAACTCTTACTGATAAGGTAATTCAAAATTAAATCCTGATTGACAGAAATATAAAAATTTAGATGGGAAAGTACAAGACTTGCAGATTTAAGAACAATTTTCAAAATGTGGCTACCTACTAATTCCAGGTGTTTACAATAATTCATGTTGACAATGAATGTGTACATCTTATGTGAATTCACTGGGAACATAGCTAAAATTCTGAATACACATCACTAGTCAAACTAAGGCTGCTGTGCTCTGCTTATTTACATCTTCTAAGCTGGAAACAGCTTGTTCATTGTCAATTATTCTAAGATCTTCTGGGTGTAGCCCTAGAGAGCTTGAAAACAACATTATATCCATGATTATAAAAGCGTTTGAAGGTACTCATACCTGGGGATTGGATCCATCAAATCCTTCCTCATAAATGATTTTCTGAATAAACTGAAGCAGCTTTATGTAGCCAGGGGTCAAAGAACTGTTGGTAAGAAGTGGTTTAAATACATAAATGGGCTTTATTATACAGGAAATACAAATGTAATCTAAAACAGTAAGTACATAATGAAAATATATACATTCATAAGATTTTTTAAATATAATTTTAAAATGAGCCAAAATAGTATAAATATTATAAAAAATAAAGTCGATACATCCAAGGAACAAGATACAATGCCTTATATTAACTAGCTCAGTGTTCTTGACATCCTGGGAAGATAAAAATCTGTGGAGACTGAGATGACTTAATTATGTCAGGCTTAGTTACCTCGAAGAAAATTAATGATTTAATGAAGCAACCTAAAAGATGAAGCCACTATGGCTTTTCAGGAGTAATCATAGATAATTAACACATAGTTAATGAACTGCTATGCCAAATATTCCTGAATCAATGTGCTGATCACCTGAGCTTACCTTCCATCAAAGTTTTAATTTTCTTAGAACAAACTGCTAAAATAATGTTAATTCAAAACCTGAATTAAGACAAGTATAAACTCCATTTCATTTGTAAAAAAGACGATAAATATAAGATGACCTAAACAAAATTATTTCCCACAAGAATATTAGCCCTAATGTCACTATTTTAAAATACTTTACAAATGCTATAAAACATCTCAAAGAAAATTTAATAAGAGCAAAGAAAATCTGCTTTAACATTAACTGAATTTAAGATTCTTCATAATGGACAACCTGTGTGCTATGGCTGAACATTAAATGTCATGATAATGAGTCCTGGAGCACAGCTAGTTCCTAAACATAAAAGTGCCTAATGTTGTAGAAGCTGTGGGTGACCTTAAAAATACAAAAGTATCTGCTTTACTGTGATCCTAAATGAAGTGATCACAAAGGCAGAGGAAATGCCCTAAAAAACGGATGAAATATAATTTGAAGCAACATGCAACACTAAAGAATATAAGTTAGTAAATATAGCAGAATGCATAGTGTGCCAAATCAATGGCCAATAGTTCAGCAAAAATATATGCATAGCTCTATAAACATTGTATTGAACATTCACATCTACCCCAAAGTACCTACCTAACAAAAACAAAAAAGAAAACCAAGAGAAAATAACCCCATTCTTTGCAAAACAAATATGACTCCAACTGAAAGATATGGTGGTATAATTATTTCTCACATAGTTATTTCTCCATTTTCAGCGAAAATACAACAAATTACATGAACACATTTTTCTACTCCCATGAGTGAGAAAATGTGTCTATAAATAATGACATTCCATAGGGCAATGATGTGATTGTTTCATATCTTAACATATATTTGTCCTGGCTAGCTCTACTTTCTGAATACAGCAGATTTAATTCCTATCTGGGTCAATTAACTTTGCACAGGGGGTAAAATCTGCTCCAAAGTCCCAGATTATGAAATGAATTCCAGCCAACCATTTGACGAATGTCACTGTGGGTTAAAGAAGTATGGATCAAGAATATACCCAGTGCATCCTAATCTACCAATTATGAATCTACCGAAGAAAATTATTATTTCATATATGTGAAAACTTTTTAAAGCATTTCCTCTCTGCCCAAAATTGTTCATTAATAAAATCTGCTTAAGTACTCGGTAGTAAATTTGCTACCTGAAGGTACATTATAAATACCACATACATAAATTACTTCTTAGTGTTTTTTAGTTGCCATCATTTATCCAGATAACATGATCTGTTATTTATTTTACATTCTCACAGTCTGTTAAGATAACTATAGTAGATCTAAGAATCTCTTCAAAAGTAATGGGGTTTCTTTCGATATAAGAACAAAATGGACATAAAGCCAATACATCACAACCTCTTTCCTTATTTAACACAGATAGAAATAATCTAATCAAAATGCTTAGAACTTGATAAGTAAAACAAACTTCTCCAAGCTCATTAAATTTCTAGGAAATTAAATACTGGTAACAAAATAAAATTTGGAAAATCAATACATTTAGGTATACTAATTGAGAATATTCATTCTTGTATACATAAAATTATAGCATTTAAAACTGAATCAGTTTATATGGTATTGACATTAAAACACTAAGTATTGTTAATCTCTATGAGATACATTTCTGTGTCAGAAATACTTGTAATTAATAATATATTTTTGGCTGAAAATAATTATCTTCTATTGTCATCTAAATTTTTTTTTAAAACCCCATTAATTTTGAGAATGTTGTCTTTTTGTTGTTGTTCAACAGTCTAGTAACATAAAAAAGAAACTGGCAAGAAGGAAACCCAACTATAAATATGAACCTGGCTTCCTTATGTTTCCAAACCCTTAACAAAGATTAAGCTATCAAAGTATTTATAATATGTCCCAAAGGCACTACATTTCAAATTATGTATGCTACTTTATATGGTTCATAATTTTCAGCAAGTTTTATAGTGAATGGTGTATCTTGAGATATCACAATATCTCTAAAACTATAATAGTACAAAGAATATGAAAATTATTAGAAATTTAATTTTTACCTTTACATATCAAGCATTTAATTTTTTCTTTAGTTAAAACATTGTCCCATGTACATTATTCATGTGTCTGCTGATATTACCATGCCATGTTGTCTGACAGAAATTTATTTCTTTTTTTTAAACATATATTTTTTATATTTTATGGATTTTTTACAGAGAGGAATGGAGAGGGATAGAGAGTTAGAAACATCGATGAGAGAGAAACATCGATCAGCTACCTCCTGCACACTCCCTACTGGGTATGTGCCCGCAACCAAGGTACATGCCCTTGACCGGAATCAAACCCAGGACCCTTGAGTCCGCAGGCCGACGTTCTATTCATTGAGCCAAACCGATTAGGGCAATTTATTTATTTATATTAATATACAAACATGGAAAAAGGAACACAATGACACAAATGTAAATCTACATATTGCTGACCAAGTTTAACAGTTTTAAAAAGTAGATAAAAAAAAATGTGTGCCTATCAATATCAGCAAGAAGTCTAAGGGACATTTTGTATCAGAGATCATTAATTTATATCAACAAATAGCTTTTGGTTTTCTTGTAAAAAGAAATTTGTCATTAAGAGATAATATCTGCTGTAAGAAAATGAAGCAGCTGTAGTATATATAGAAAAGAAATCAAGTAAGATAATTATATTTGTTTCTCAATGAAGAAAGGAATGCTTACAAGTCTTAATGTGATCAAAGAATAAATGTACCACTGTTACCCTCATAACTAGTTAGTTATTAATATTAATAATAGGAAGAAAGCAAAGGGAATGCCAGACATTATAAGCATGGTCATCTGGGCAGCTTCACCAGGAAGCTGCACCTTCACACTTCCCAGGAAACCACGGGTCCATTCCCTGGAAATCACTGGGGGAAGAGGCCCAATGAAGGGGAAAATGGGCACATGTGCAGTGAAGTTGGAATGATGTAGGGAAGGTACTTGCATCTCCGTCTAGCCAGAGGAACAAGATCACTGGCTAGGAGGGTGGATCCACTGCAAGTATGAGAAATACATACAAAGATAAAATTATGTATATATAAAATTAACTGAGTGAAATGTTTATTCAGCTAACAAGCTCAGTTTGTTTCTAACAAGACCACTTGGATTTAATTTTAATGTTATCAGCTGATAAAATGTCTGGTACATAATAAATACCCAAAATGTTTTGCATCACTGTCACAACACCTGATCACTACAATAACCTTGAGAAGTTAGTACAGTCATTAGCTCAATTTTATGGTTGAGAAAATAAGACCCATTAAAAGCTAAGTGATTTGCCCAAGGCTGTACAACAATTAAGTGGCACTTAAGACTCAAGTTATTTGCACTTTAGCTAAACTAAGATAAAGCCTCAGAGTGAGATCCAGAATCAATGAAAAGTCTGTGGGTTCAAATAAATATGTGGCTGAGATGAGGTTTGAACATGGATCCATTAAACGTAATCAAATAAAATAATAAGGTGTATAGATTTAGGAAGATATTCCTCTTAGTTGTACAGACATTTACTCATATTAACTTGGTAATATTAAAAAGCGTAGATTTACAAATGTATAAACCAGATACCAGAATATCCCAGTGAATTGTATGATGAAGATATGAGTTCTAGTACTATCTCTAGCAACAACTCTAACTAAATCTGTTATATGTGGCAAAGTCTTTAATTTTTCAGTTCTGGGCTTCAAATTTTTCTCATCTGTTAACTAAAAGAGTTGCATTAGATAATCTCTGTTGTCCATTTTGACTTAAAATTATATGGTTCAAGAATGACATTTCTTTACTTTTTTAGGAATAATTTTTCTCATTAAAGTGACTCATTGCTGTGCTTTAAAAAATTAGAACTTCTGCTGCATCTAAATAATTATTTAACAACTTGATAGACACACTTAACAAAGAGAAACTATTATCCCTACCAATTAAGATTATTTTAAAGTGAAGATGAAGCATTTTTGAAATTACTATCCAAATCACTGAGAAAATACGATTTGCATTAACAAAAATCTATTTACACATATATTTCAGGTATTCACCAATGACAAATAGTGAGATATACTTATAAGGCAATAGGCCCAATATCAAATGTCTTAACTAATTGTGTAAAATAACTACAGTTATATTAGCATATACTTTGCATGTAACTATAAAGACTGTGAAGTCTATTCACAAGTAATTTTCAAGTTAAAAATTCCATTACTAGTGCCCTGAATGTTATCATTTATTATTTTTCTTTCTTATGCTTAACTGCATGTGTAGGCTAAACAATCCACTGTGTGACAGGGAACCACTGAGAATGGTTATGGCTCAATAACCAGTGTGACAGGAGCCACCAAGGAGCAAGAAACAAAACTAATCAGAGGAAGCTATTCCAAGAGTTCTTTTTTTAAAAAAATATTTTTTTATTGATTTCAGAGAGGAATGGAGAGAGAGAGAGAGAGATAAACATCAATGATGAGAGATAATCGTTGATCGGCTGCCTCCTGCATGCCCCCCACTGGGGATCAAGCCCGCAACTCCAGCACATGCCC